CTCTGAGTTTCTGGATGCCTCCCTTCCACCAGTCTGAGCTGAGGTTTGCTCCAATGTATTGAGCATCTGACTTGGCTGCAGATGCAAAAGCAAGAGCTAGGCTAATGGGAAGTGTCCTCCAAGTCCCATGGGCTCTGCAGCTGTATGAGAACCCTGGGCAATCGGGAGTAGGTGGCTACGTGGCTGGGTATGAAGGACTCTTGGACAAGTCTCCGCCTGATTTCTGTGAATCTGAAAGCTTTCCTGATCTTTAGTTGTGGCCTAGTAAAGTGAAACCAGTGCCCACGGGGGTATCTGTGTTAACTGCTAGCATTTGAATTAGCAGTACCTTAATAGAGTCTAATGAAAATGGAGGGAGGGGCAGGGTGACTCTGCAGTGTGTGTGTGTGTATGGGGGCGGGGGTCTTCTTCTTCTGAAGAGTAGAAATTGCCCAAGAGAGGGAAAAAATATAGATCTGGAAGTGTTGGTAACTGGATTGGTGATTTTTCCCAGAGCTGTCTGGAGCAACTTTAAAATCAGGTGGCGAGTGGGTGTGAGTTTGCACCAGGATGGCTGTTCTTACTCCAACCCAGCCAGGCCAAATGGAATCCAGGTTTTCATTTGTGGTCACCTCACCCAGCCCCCAAATTTGCTCATGATGTCACTCCTCCCTACAGTTGTCTAAGTGCATGTTCCCAGCCGCTGGTTAAACAGTCAAGCTCAGAGTCTCAGATTCTTAACTTCCCTGTATTAAAACAAAGCAAGCCTTCTCTCTTTTTGAAAGGGTACACCAACCTTTTGTCACTTTATTGCTCTCTAGAGGGGAAATTAATGGAAGAATAAAGCTATCTGAGGCAAAGCTATCTGAGGGAATGATATGTGAGTTCTATCCTGAGTGGAAGGGAATTTAAAATCATCTGTTGAGGTCAGTGATGACTTGAACTTCACGTCTCTCCATTCTGGTCTCTGTCTGTGACAGTCCACTCTGGTTGGCACATCACTTTCAGGTCTTCCCTGGGACACTGATGGTCTAACAGATCTGTGTGTTTAGGAAGATGTAGGAGACCAATTGGGGGAGAATGTCACAAGATTACAGTTATTTTCTCTGTTCACACTGCCCCTTCCCCTGTGGTTCTTGAGTTATCCTCTCACTCCCTACAGTCACCCCCTGATCAGGCAGAGATAAGACAGTGAGAATTTCTGGGGAGAAGGGTCTTGGCAGGAAGTCAAATAGAGTAGATGGGATGCCCTGCTCAGAAAGGGGTACTCCAATGTCTCCAGTGCCACCTGACCTCTTATGATTCAGTCCCCCCTTGGGGTGTTGCCCAAGTCTCCCCTACAATTCCTGGCAGCATCAGGTGGACCTTCATCCCATTGCAGGGGCCCTCCCTCCCTTTCCAGCAGGCTTCTATGTGCAAAAGAGAGCTCCAGTATGGGTTCCAGAAGACTCCAGGCCTCATTCCCTGCAACCTCAGAGAAGGTTGTTAAACCAACGACTTCCTATCTCTGAAACTTTTGCCTTTGGATTACTGGTGGTATCTGCTTTTTCCATTACCAATGAATATATGTCCTACATCCCCTTGATTAAAGGATTTTTCTAATCAATTTACCAAACAAAAAGGATTACCTCTGAGCACCCATGCTTTGAAAAGGATTTTCAATAAATATATAAATATTTGTTGGGGAAAATGAAAAAATTGTTGTCTCCGGGCTGTCATCCCCATGTTAGTTTTATTTTCACTTTCAATTTTTATTTTTAAAAATACAATATAATATTTAGTAGTCTTATACTTTATAAAAAACTTAGAAAAGATATGAATGTGTTAAATAAAAAAATAATAAATTTATCATGACCTATTAAGATGGATAGACTTTATCAAGGGAAAGAGTATAGTACTGGCTATATAACTTCAATAATTAAATTTCCTCAAATTTAAAGATTGGCATCAATGTTTTCAGATCTAGCTTGGAGAATAAAGACCCATTTCATTTTTTCTGTCTATGCTCAAAAGTAAACCTTCTATGATTCTTGAATGAGAACTGGTGATTCAGAAACAAACTTGATTGCTGGTTTTTAAATCTATGAGGGATTGTACACTAGGACCTAACATGCAGTGGACTGGTAATATATAAAAGCTCAATAAAGAAAAAGCCGGACTCAGTGGCACATGCTTGTAATCCCAGCAGCTCAGGAGGCTGAGGCAGGAAGATTGCAGGTTCAAAGCCAGTCTCAGCAAAAGTGAGGTGCTAAGCAACTCAGTGAGAGCCTGTATCTAAAGAAAATACACAATAGGGCTGAGAATGTGGCTTAGTGGCCGAGTGCCCCTAAATTCAATCCCTGGTACTCCCTCCCCGCCGCCAAAAAAAAAAAAAAAAAAAAAAAAAAAAACAAGTTAAAAAAAAAAAAAAAACATTTCTACTGCATTATGTTAGAATTTAGATGAAAAATAAGAGAAATGTCTCAGGCTCTATTTCTGCTGGGGAGAAGAACTGAGAAAAGATAAACTCATTCAAAAACATCCGCATACAGAAAACAACAAAGGGATCAGACCAGCCCAAAATTATGTGCATTCTGTGTCTAGCAATAAAAGTTGGTGCTATCTTATTTTAAAAGCAAATTTTCTTTCTGTTTCTGATGTATTAAAATGATTTAACAAAAGGTGACAACAAAACAGAGCTACTTTTCTAGTTTGATGTGGGAGCAGAAACCTGTATCACTGAGGAGAAGCTTCGCACACTACATAGAATCCGCTAGAGAAGGAAGAAACCAAATGTGTACTAAGAGCTCTCTAGGAGACCATCTTTTTGCTAAGTGCTATTTCATTTAACCTTCCCCATAATGCTGTGAGGCAGTTAGATTTTTCTCTACTTTACATATGAGGAAACTAAAAGCCAATGGCTTGTCCAAAGTCACACAGGCAAAAAATGGCAGCCAGACTTCCCAGCCTGGAATCTACAGCCCCAACTCAAGGACAGCCAATCCAGCTTGCAGAGTAGGTCCTAAATTGTTAGCTTTTTCTGCAAGCATTCTACAAGTTTTTCAAACTAAACAAAAAGAACCACTGCATCTTACCACATAATTAACTCTTTCAATGGCCTCAGAGTGGGTAAGCAGAGGTCTTCAAATTCCAACTTGAAATGGAAAAGACTCAAATGTGTAACTCTCAGATGTATCTAATTCTTTAGTCCAGGCTTTATTTGACATTAGATCATACAAACTAAGAAGCAACATTCCWGGTACCTTTCACGAGATTTTTTTTTCCTAGTTCAGACTCATTGCCTGGGGAGTCATTATAATCTTGACTTCTGTGATGGACCAGAGTCCCCAAATAGGGACAGTCCCTGGGACAAAAAGAGTCAAAATGATATTGGGTCTTGTGGATTCCCAAGCCAGATTTTTTTGAGTAAACACTAACCTGAGAGATTTTGTGTGCACCAGTCACTTTAGAGCACATCTCAATGCAGTGTGTCCAAGTACTATGGAAATTTTATTAATAAAGAAAATCTGCTTATACACAACACCTTTAAAAACCACAACCTCAAATGTGTAGAAACACTTGGTATTCTATTCACTATGTGATCAAGACCAGAAGAATAAACCACAACTCCAAAGTAAGACACCATTATTTTTGAAGGGGATAAAAATCACTTGAGATAATAAAGTACTAGAAAATCAGGGGAAAACACCAAATCAAGGTATTTATGTCAAAGGCTAAACCATTAAGACGAAGATCCAAATGAATGTTTCCACTGTGAAACTATTTGTCCATCGTATATCCTGAATATACAGTGCACACCTAAAAACATGACGAGAATTTTGAGTATGGTAAGAACTGACAGCAGATTTACAGAAATGATGGCCACATAGCTATAGTTCAGAGATAATCACTAGAAAATATAAAGGCATGTTTTAGGTACAGAAGCCATTCGTTTTTCAGGGCAGCTTTTAGATTGATTTTTTATTATTTTTCAGTAACCACAGTTGTCCTTGAGAATCTTCCTTGGACACCCTCTATCCTAGCCTTTATTACAATTTTATAAATGTAGGCCAAATATACTGCACGTGAGAAGAGAAGTACAAGGATATCAAAAGATCCTCATGCCTTGGACAGGAATAGAAAATGCCTATATAATGGATTCTTCCTGTCAGAACAACACTCTGATATGTGTGGCTGGAATCCCCTCCAAAGAGATCATCCACACTTTTAATCCAACGAGGAAAAAAAAGTTAGGCCTGTTACTTGACTACAGTTTCCAGGGCCCTGGTGTAGCTGTATTTTTAGGCTTGGCTCCAAGTCTCTGCCTACGCACATTTGGATGGTGCAAGGGAGGCACAGATGGCCGTCACGTGAAGACACAGACCCATCGAGTGGGCTCCGTGACAAAGTCTGTACATTTAGGCTGCTGTATTCCTCCTATTTCAAGTACTGCCAAGTCCCGGCTGTTTCCCTTTCTTTCCAAAGTCTTGATTCATTTAATACTCCTGAAGGAGGTGGGAGAGGAGGAGGATTGCACAARTCTTACTGTTGTATGGTTTAAAAGAGGAGACAGTCACCATCTTGGCTCCTWGTCAGATTTTCAATGTAACATTTTGCTAAGTATAAAGCTGTGTGTCTGTTCCTTTCCTGTTGCCCTTATTGTAACTTCAATATTTGCAAAACATAACATCAAAATACTTCAAATCCAGCCCAAAGCAGTTTGTTATTCATGCAACACAATTCTTACACATATCAATATACAGTAAGCTCTCAGCAAAGGAATCTTTTTTTTTTTTTTTGTTCCTTCTTTTCATTTATATTTTTCTCTCTGGGGATTTAAGAATGATTTGATTCCACAATAGCAAAATCCCCACTATACCACACACACACACACACACACACACACACACACACACACACACACATCTCCTGAGTATTCAACATACTAATATCAAGCTTATTACCAAGTCAGCTTTTATTGGTTACATTATTTATACAAAGGAAGCAAAAAAAAAAAAAAGCGAAAGTTTTTCTACCATTTGGAATACCCTGTGAATCATTTGAAATCATAGAGCACCTTAATTGATGTGTAGAACCTCAATTTCCTAATATAAAAACCTGTAGTGTTTGCTATAAAAAGTTGCTAAAGGTATTCAGGATGTGCTTCCAGGGGTGCCTGATTCATGGTAACTAGCACGAACTCAGTCCTTTCTTACTCTTTTAAGGGCGACCTGGGACATTCTAGATTCTCTGTCATTTTCTTCTTCATGCAGTAAACATTATCAAAAACCAAAATGGATTAAGTTATTGAGATTTTTCTTAACAGGGCACAAAGGACTTTTCATGTTATCCTCAGAGGCTTGGTATTCTGTCAGTGAAATTTTTGAATATAGTCAATCCTGCTCCAGACTCTTGGCCACTAAGCTCTCCAATGTTCCTCCTTGGCCTGACCTACTGGGTAGGAAGGCCATTTGTAAATCAGKTCAAAACATAAAAAGGTTTTAACATCTGTTAATCAAGTGATTTATCTAGAGAATATAAAAATATATTTACAATCCTCTGTGACTTTTTTATTTGGATATTTATGTTATGCAGATATTGACACGATTATCATAAGCAATGAAATTATTCATCTATCCTCAAAGAATCTATTTGATTTTGGGGTTGAATTTTGTGATTATTAAAGTATATCAATAAGCAATGCAGAGAGGCATATTGAGCTCAATCATTACCTTGAACTTCTCTTTCAACAGAGTGTACTAATAGAGAAAGTTCTTGATAGCATTTATGCTGCATGAATTTCCATTTTGAACTCCTTTTTGAAACAATTATATCATTCAGAAGTTAATAATAGTGATGATGATGATGATRATAATAATAATAGGAAAAACAGAGCAAAGTCCCCTATCATAGGCTACTTGTTTTTAATCATAGTAAGTCAAAAACAAAGCAAAACACAACTGGTTACAGTGGAAAATGCCTATAACACTCGCTATTCTGGAGGTGGAAATGGGCTATCACTTGAGCACAGGAGTTCAAGTCCAGCCTGGGCAAAATAGTGAGACCTTGCCTCAAAAACAAAACAAAACAAAACAAAAAAATCATTGGACATATTTCTCAAATAAGCACTTCAAAACATTGAGTCTTGAAGTTCACTATGCATATAAATCAATAATAGGATTATGTACCAACTACAGTTTTATGAATAGAACTCATCTGCAGTACCCAATCTTCCTCAAAGGTACTCAGTTGCCAAGAGAGATACTTTTCAACATATCACAAATGTGCCATTTGTAGAACATTTTCTATGACAAATGCTCTTGTTTTTGTTTAAGTGAGTGCTTTTAATCTATTAATATTTTTTTTCTTTTCTTATAATGATTGGCTTCCAAAAAAAAAGATCTTTAGGCGTCTTCTCTTGTGAGAGTAATTTCTCTTAACACTGACAGTGCTGCCTAAGTACAGCCAGAGCTCATTAAATAGACTTCTGAGCATAATTATAATTAACAATTAGCTAGAAATTAGTTTTAATGATTTGTTTTAGATGATAGAATAGAAGCATAATGTAATTATTTTTAAAACTTCTACATCATTAAGAATACAACTACCACCACCTTTCAATTATTGAGAAACAGATGATCATCCAAAGCATTCGGAGAGTGATCTACTCACACAGCCAAACCCAGGGAACTAAAAAGGCCGCCGCCCCAGCCCAGGTGGTTATAATTATTTAGCCTTTTGCAAAGTCTCTTCCTTTTCTACTCTGATTTTGTAAAGCTCTTTCATGGCTTGAAGACATCTCTACCAGGGAAAATAAAAAGATTTAACCTGGACATTTGGCTCTTCCTCTACCCTGCCTTTCTCTAAGATACCATGAGAACTGTGGTTCAAGGTGGCAAGGACCAGAAGATACTACACAATCTAGCAAGTGGCCCCAAAGTGCCAGTTCATACCACCAAAACTGGACTAACAGGAAAGAAGGTTGTATTGTAAGTCAGGGATGAAATGAGTGTCAGGAATAAACGCCAGACTGCAAAAAAAGATCTGTGCCCTTCTTTCCCGGTTCAGTGTTCTTTTAAATTCTAATATTCTCAAAACTCAATCTGGATTTGTTTTTCCTCAAATGAATTTTAAAAATGCAATAGAAACCTGAAGAAATGCTCTTTTGTTTTCCTGAAAAATATAAAAACATTCATTTAGAATGGCAAATAGTATTTATCGTCAAACTTTTCTTTCTTTCTAAAAAAAAACATTTTGTTGCCACCTCAGCTACTCCATGTGCTGTTTTCTTTCCACCTCTGAGCAAGACTATTAGACCTTTTGCTGTTGGCCTTCTGAAGTTGTCAGAGAGCACATCCTGACACCCACATAAAAGACCTGGTACCTATGTTTCCACATCACAAAGCAGGCCAACAAGCACACAAGGCCACAGACCAAGTTCAGCACCATCTGGACGAGTAAGAACAGTTTGAAAGTGTCAGTGACGCTGGTACAGTCAGTCACATCCCGGTAAACAAAGGTCCTGCTGAGCGGCTCCGAGGAGGGCAGTTTGCACTGGCAGGAGTCAAGTGCAGTCTCACAGGTAAACCGTTCGAGCAGCGAATAGTGGTGGGCAGCAAATGCCACGGCCAGCACACAGACGGTCAGGCCCAGGGCGCTCAGCACAAAGTACAACAGCTGCAAGAAAGCAGAATGAAACCTTTCTGGTTACAAAGAACATGGGATGACTATTTGCAAAGCTAATTAATTAACATCACTCTTTTTCTTCTCTCTTAGGAAGTTCTCTGATGGAAGGGCTGTCTCCTCAGAGACACAGCACCCAAGACATGGAAATAACTTTCGTGTTTATTTATTAGCAAGCAGTCCTTAAACCCTGGTCCTAATACCATTTGCCATACAGATGTTGAGCCCTTTCTGCCATACAGAACTGAGCCAACCGTATTAGCTTCGTTGTGGAATGGCTGACGTCTAGATGTAGCAAGCCATTTAAAATAAATTCCAAATCAGATAGCCATTCCTGGATGACATATTGGGCTTATTTTGAAATCAAGAGCCGCTGATAACAAGGAAGACTAGGAAGTCAAGAACAGGTTTCTGTAAGGCAAACACTGYGTGGGCCAAAATTATCAGTAATTGATCAACTAAAAATACAGGTTAATGAAAAAAGACTGTTCCATGTGGTGGCTGCCAGACTATGTCCATAAAAGCCAGGGACCCAAGCAAGAGTTTACTGGGAGAAGAAAATTATGGCTCCAGAAGGCAGATGACTTGATGTTAGCTTCATCACTCATATTCTGCTAAAAACATGTAGTTCCTGGGAGTGAAAATAAACTCTAAATAGCTCCCCAGCCCCCAAGGCTCTGAGCACTGTTAACCTACTTGTTAGATTCAGAWTTGAAAGTGGTTTAAGTTTTAATTCTTCTGCAAAAGAACTGTGGAACCTCAGAACATTTGGCTTACTTACAGTGAAATGTTTTGATCAAAAATTGTTGGTTCCCACTGACATGGCCACAGCAAAATCTCTCATACAGGACAAGAAATGTTCTTGTGATTAGACTCACCTACTGGTAATGTTTCTCTTAGTGGTCTACCTGCTGAGAATCTAGAAAGGATCAGACTTTGCGGACCTGGGAACTAGCATCCACAGTTTGTAGTTTAAGATTTATGTCACCACAGTCCAAAGTTGCTCTTTAAAAGGATTAGTTCTGGTGAATGGGGACTCCCCAAGGTAAGGTTAGTTTCATTCATTTTTTTCAGATTAAAGTGGCTCAGAAAAGATTATGCCCTTCTTCCACCTCCAATTACTTGTCAATTAAAATAAAAACATACATAAAAACATAAAATATATGTATGAAAGTCATCTAAATGAGTGATTTCCCACACAATGACAATGTCAAGTGTTTTCAAATCTTAAATATGGAATAATAAAATTTTTATTTAAGGTATGTGTGTGTGTGCACACACATGGTTGCGGGTGCCCTAACCATGTGTTTCTGTTTGCCTGTGAAGAAATCTATCCTAGATCCCATACAGCTTGATTRGATATCTGAAGTCACTGGAAGAGAGTGGAACTGGTTAAAATCATTTTTGTCTTAGTATATCTTAAGGAGTACATAAGTTTTTTGAATCTTCTCATCAAAGATAATCTTTTCAAATCATTCATAGGGTTTTCAGATGTAACCCAAGTTAATCTTCATCTGTGAAACAGTTTATAGAAGCATCTTATATCTCAGGCACATAACAAGGATAATTTATAGTCACTGTGTTTAGTGTTCCTTGGAGGAAGTGAACCAGATAAATACAAAGTGGCAGTATTATAAAATTTAAAAAGGAAATATGTAATTTGCTGTATTGAAAGCAGTGCTTTGTTCCTGTCCCCAGTATATTTAGTGACTATATTTTATACAAAAATGGACTCTTTGGGCTTAAAAGTATGAGTTTATTGTGTGCAGCTAATGGAACAGAATACTTGAAATGTTCTGGGTTGCTCTGAAATATTTAGACTTGGTGATCGACTTTAAACAGTTGATGCCAAGAGCCAAACYGTGTTGGCCATGTTGTGTGAGCATACCATTGCAACTGTTTCTGGCGCAGCCAGCAGAGAGCTGGGACCTATTTGCTCTGGGAACATCAGTACTTCATTCATAATTACCAGCAGAAAAGACTCAAGTCAAGGTGATAATTTCCTACTGGCTAGTCATCTGCTTAGTAGAAGGACCCCAAATGGAGTTTTCTTTTTATTGCCACCAATGAATGGAATGGGCAGATCTTATAATTACCTCAACACGCTCACAGACATATACCCTTAAATAGTAGATTTCTGCAATACTTATTGGAGACAAAAGTCCATTTGCTAAAATTGGAAATTTTATCTATTTTTTTTTTTTCTTCTCAGTGCCTCTGGGTAAAGGATTGAGCCCAGGGGCCCTTTTCCACTAATCCATATCCCCAGCCCTTTTTATTTTTTATTTTGAGAAAGGGTCTTGCTAAGTTACTGAGAAGTCTTGCTAAATAGCTGCAGCTGGCCTTGAAATTGTGATCTCCCTGCCTCAGCTACCCAAGTCGCTGGGACTATATGTGTGTGCCACCATGCTCTACAGTTTTTCCTATTTTTAAAAYGGATAATTTCTTGGCTCAGAAATTAAAAGATTTGCACAGCAGTACTGGGTGATGGTTAAGAGCATGAATCAAGGAGCCAGACTGTCTGAGATAGAACTTGGCTGTCCCCTCAAAAGCTGTGGTCCTTGGGCAAATTAATCAATCCATGTGCACCTGTGTTTCTTCATCTGTAAACTTGAATGACAATCATAATAGCACTGACTTCATAGGAATATTATCAGAATCAAAAGAGTTGACATCTGCAAAGGGCTTAGAACAGAGTCTGGTGCATAGTAGCACTGTTTAGGTGTTTGTGAAATAAATAAACAAATTAGTAGAGAAGGGGAAGGATTGCCAGTCCACAGGACCCTTAGCATATCAGTGGTATTGTCTTTGTCTTATTCTCTGTRGTGTGGGAGTAACAATACATACTTGGCTTGTGGAATGGATGTAAACATTTACACAAGTACAGTGATTGCTCAGTTTTAATTGAGCTTCTTAAATATGTTAGAAGCCAGCAAGAGTACAAGAAAAGCTATGCATGCCCCTTAGCTCCTTTGAATATGAACAAATTCACATACACGTAAAGGTGCCTCCACTTCTCCCACTCAGAAAAGCATCAGTAAACAGGAAGAAGCCACAGAATAGAGTTTCTTATCCATTTTAGGTCATAAATATAGACTTGATCGGCTAAAGCCTGTGGGCTATATCTGCAACGCTGCAGCATGTTGCYTTCATGGCTTTAAACTCATCTGACAGCAACAAGCTTACGGGTCAGAATCCATAATTTAAAATCAAGTGGCTTGTTTTACCTACACAGCACGAATAACTATCAATGAAAGTGTGTACGATGACCTTGGGAATCCGAGCAAATATATCTTGATAACAGCCCCGCGCGGGAGGCATTCGTCTTGCGGGTGTCAGCGCAGCGGTCTGGCGCTCTGCGGCGGGCGGAGGCGCGGTGGCCCCGGGTGCTTCTGTAACAGCAGCGCCAGGCGGGTCTCGCTCCCCGGCTCCTCCGTTCCCTGCCTCTCTCTAATTGGTACCCGGCTGCGGCTTTCAGACTTTCACATTCGGTGACTTCGGGAGAAGGTGGTTCTGTTTCAATTKAATTACCTTCCCCGGTGGCCTGAATGGTAAAGTCCCCTCTGCACACCGCGCAAGAGCGGGCTGCCACAGCAGCCCAGGGGCTTCCTAGATGTGGGCATGAGGGACCGTGCCCCGGAATGTTCCCGCAAGCACATGAACTCCACATATTTCTGAAAATTCAGGTGTGCCCCCAGCAATAGGGGCCACGGGGAAAGGCAGGAGGCGCAATCCACAGTAAGATGGACCGGCCAAGCCCAGGGTTAGAAGCCAGGGAGAAAGAGGAAAGCACTGGTGGCATCCAAGACCTGCCAAAGGAAAAAGGTGTGTGTGTGTGGGGGGGGGGGGCTCTTTCTCTCTCTCTCTCTCTCTCTCTCTCTCTCTCTCTCTCTCTCTCTCTCCACAAGGAGATTGTCATCATGGCCCCATTGCTTGCCCTGGCTATCTGAGCATTCAACAAGAAGAAAGAAATTCTCAGACAATGCTTAAGCCAGGGTGCCAACATGGGGGCACTCAAATGCAACTGTGCTGGTAAGAAACACCTAACATGCATTTCATTCCTGCCCCCTCCTAAAAGGGAGAGGAAATCACTGTGCCCTGTTGGACCACTGGGAAACCTGGAGATGAGTGAAGCTGATTTTGGACCTGAAGATACTATAAGCCAGCACCTTAGATTGCTGGCAGCAAGCACCACTAAAGGTCACATTCAGGGGAAGAGAAAAGTGCCTCAGTATTTGTCAATGTCTGTCACAGGTGAAAAAATTAGGTAACTAATGAGATCTTCCTAGTGGGAAATTCTCAACCTGGCTGACATTGGCAGTGACTTTTTTCYTTCTTTCCCTTTTTTCTACTTTGCTCCTTATTTTAACTGAGGTGCAGACATTGAGATGCCTTTAGGGGTCTCTCTGAAAGTGAGGCATTTCGTTCTGCTGTTTTCTGGGATCATCTGTGAGGGAAAATGAGGGTATTGCACATAAATTAATGAAAACCTAGTTTAGGGGGTTTTTCACCTACTGAATTAAGTTCCCCGTTATTTAACAGACCATTTTTACCAGGCTTGCTTGCTTGCTTCCTTCCATCACCAAGCCTTCTTTTAGTCAGAATGCAACAAAAAAACTTGAACTGAGGCTTTGTTCTATCTAGRCTTCTTCTTTTAAGGAAAGTCCTTAGACACAAAAAGTAAAATTTTCAAATGTAGATATTTGTACCAAAATTCTAACTCTTCACAATTTTCTTAAAAACAGCATCTATTATTTTTTARTTAGAAAAGTGATGTCTCACTATTGGAGAACATTTCAAAATTGGAGAAAACTACAAAGTGTWGCTCTTTATCCCTGCACTCATGGGTAACTATTTTTTATGCACAATGAAAGGTAGTCTKTCTTCTGTGAAATCATATGATAAATTTTTTGTCACGAGCTTTTTTTCATTAGTTAATAAAATGTAAACTTTCTTTGTTCCATTAACTTCCTTTTTACATTATGATTTTAAAATTTTATTTATCTGTTTGCTTATTTGCAGTACAGGGATGGAACCCAGAAGGGCTTTACCACTGAGCTACATCCCTGGCCCTTCTTATTTTTTAATGTTGAGATAGGATTTCACTAAGTTACCCAGGCTGGCCTTGAACTTGTGATCCTCCTGCCTCAGCCTCCCAAGTCACGGAATTACAGGTGTGTTCCACCACACCCAACTACAGCATGATTTTAAAAAGCATCAGCACTCTGCTCTTTTATATTAACAGCTTCAATTATACTGCAATATTCCAATACATCTTATGTTCTTCATCTTCATAATTTCCAAATAATATTGTTGACTTAATTTTATTCTAGTTGAGGTGAACAAAAGAACATCCAGTTTTTATGTTTTTTCTCTTTTTACATTTTTATGGGTGCATTATATTTGTATATACTGATGGAATTTTTGTTACATATTTATAAAGTTTTTATGTTTTCTTATAGAAGAAAAGTAAATAGTGTGAATAGAAAAAAAGTTATTGATATTTTTTATTATTTGCTATAATAGCTGAGAGAAAATGTAGGAATTTGATTTCTACTAGCTTTGATTACTTGGTTCAGTGTTTTATGTCCTTAAACTCTGAAAAGGAGGTATCTATGTTTCCCTTTGGAGAATATTCTGTTCATCGAAAATGCTGTGCATTTGAATTGAGTCCAAGCAAATTCACTGTCCTTAACAGAGAAAAAATTCACAAAAATGAAAGAAACACACACTTGCCAAACCATGCATATCCCAACCATTGCCCTCAGACTCCTGGCACAGATCATTTGGATGCACCCAATGTACTTTTTCTGTCTCAGTGATCCCACCTACAAGGGGAAATGCACTTAAATTGCTTCTTTATTAAAATACTCCAAATAACCCCCAAGATATGGAAGTGGGTACTGAAAGAGCCACCTTTCCCTGGCCAAGTGTTTTGTTGAGCTGATGAATGCTCAATATTCCTTTTAAGGGCATTAAAGGACACACTTCACATACTCCATGCCAGCCCAGCTCATGGAAATTAAGACTAGCATTACCTTTGGGTCTGGATCAATGCCCTCCTAAAACATTTTTTGGCCTGCCTGAAAATGTAATTTCTAGACACATCAGATATGCAACCCTTTAAAAAGCACTCCTTTATTTTATACTTGTATTTCTATTGTTGATAAAGAAAAGAAAAATAACAACTTACTTTCATAGAAAACTGGATACATGTCCGTTCGTCGACTTGATATGAGACACAAAGCATAAACAAGCCCAGATAGGCCACTAAGCAGACCTGAAATGCAGAACATGGAATAAAGGATGTTATCAGGGCAAGTCATGGTTCTACTGACATCTCAGTGTCTTTCACTAGTAACATCCATGTTATCAAGCTGTTCATTTCATTTTACTTATTTATATGTATTTACTTAATTTGTGGAACACAATAAAATCAATTTATTTCAATTTAGCTAGTATTTATTATATCCTTTTGATGATCCCATGTACAAAGATGAATAAAGTTTTCTCAGCATTAATCAGCATACAGTTCAGTACAGGCCAAAATAAATACATGCACTACACTGTGGCAGGGCCTAATATGTCAAATGCTATTCAGAGAAGTACAAAAAGTGGAAGAAGTTACATTGAGTTAGGCAAGACAAAAGGTTTCGCTCAACAAGTGGATTTGAAAATGGCCTTTGAAAGACATAACAATAATGGTCACTAACATTTACTAAACACCATGTGCTAGAGCTCTTCTAAGGGCTTTGTAGGTACTTCCTCGTGTAATCGTCATAATAAAATCTAGGTGCTATTGTATGTTGTAAATGAGGAAGCAGAGGCATAAAGCAAGTAAATAATGGAACCAGGATGCAAACCAGGTAGGCTGGGTAAAAAGCAGCCACAGGAGCATGGAGCTGCACCTGCACCGTGCACTTTGAGAGAAGAGCACAGTTGAATGAATGAAACGTAGAGAAGAAAAAGTAGGACCAAGATTTGAGGATACAGGGCTGGTTTAGTAAGTCGTGGAGCTTCCTTGAAAGTTTTCAAACAGGGAATGACATGATTTGAGACTGTTTCGGGAAAATGAACAGTGATGTTGGGTGGGTTGGAAGAGAACATCAGGATTTTATTTTACTAACCTGAGCAAGATTAACATATTAGGTGGGTCAGAGCTCAGGGGATTGCAGGCAACTTCAGATAGAGCAGTGGAGGGAAAAGGTGTAGTAATGTATTGCACGAATGCTAGGAGAAAAGCAACTTCCAAGGTCTTGAGTGAAGATGATGGACAGAAGGTAGATGTGCCTCACAGAAAGGCTGGTGGGAGGAGTGGCGGCTTTGAGAAAATACACTGATTCTGTTAGTTAAACTGTAGTTTCTTTTTTGTGAACTGGAATTTTTTAAACTGTGATTTGAAATTTCTAATCAAAGTGAATCTGTTCATATTCAGTTTTGGAAAGTTTAAAATGTTGCTAAACATAGGAAACATAACGCAATAGAATTGCATTTCTAATAGGCACAATTTTCCTAGAGATGGATATTGGAGGGGTGGCTGAGAGTCATTGAGAAGTAAACAACTGATTTGGTAATATTCACAATCCCTACCATGGCCAGCTTCAAATCTTAAAATGGTATGTTGGCTTTGTATGTTACCAGCTCTACTACCCTACGATTGTTGGGTTTGTAGAACTGGGAACTTACAAAGCAAGCCAACAGCACTTTAAGGTAACACTTCTTTTTTTATCTTGTGTTAACACAATCAATAAATTGCCTGTGCCTTTATCTGTTCCCAAGTAGAAGGTTGTTCAGATTTCTACTAGACCATGAAGCCAAAATCCCAGCCTTCTTTTAATACAACTTGTTTCCAGGGTTTTCTGTTATTAGGACTCGATGCATGGTTTAATAGTAGTAGATAAAGTTTCCAGTGGAGAGACACAGCCTTAAAGCACGTGAACATGGCATGCACTAGAGAGGTGTGGATGGAAAGCAAAGCAGAATCCAGGGAGGCAGCTTTTCAGCAGAGGGCTGGCAGGTGAACAGGTAATGATACTGAAGTTGTTTTGTAGCTTATAATGTGCTGACATTTCCAAGTCAGAAATGAGGTGGTTTTTAATTTTTTTAAGCACATTAAAAAACTAGAAATTAAGGTACATGTTTAATAAAGCCTTGTGGATGTACTATGTATTCTCATAGTAAGAATTTATAGAATTGACACAACAGAGGAGAGACCTTCTTTCCTTTTTGTTTAATGGCAACAAATCAGATTGAAGGTTCTAAAACTGCTTGTATGGGGATTGTTATATCCCAAAGTATATTACTGTTCTCCCTTGATAGTTTTTGTCTGCAGAGGCATGGGACAAGCACATCTTTCTCATGTAACTGTCTTGGTCCCTAGAGACTACAGTGCTGAGGTTGGCAATTGCGAAGACTTTCCTCTTTGTCTTTACAAGAGACACATTTCCAATAATCAGGCCTAACTGACCAGCATCTTTAAAAATCAGATTCAATGCCTCTGCTGGAACAAAATTTCCCCTTTCAATAGTATCTAATTCTTTGTAGCCTTCATTTAACCTGGTTTCCAGTAAGATGTTGCATAGAAACCCATGACCTCATTCTAGAGCATTTCATTTCTTCAATCGGAAGAACCTTATTGAGGATTTACAATAGCAGACCCTGTGCTATTGTATGACTGAGAATTGACAGATGAAAAACCATAGTTCTTTACTCCAAGGACAATCCCGCCTCCAAGGATCTCTTATTCCAGTTGGAAAATAGAAAAGGGTGAAGTTACAATATAATCTAGGTACTAAAACCCCATCTGCTATGAGAATACACAGAAGGGGTGACTAACCTGAGGGAGACTTGGAGAAATGTCCTGGAGCAAGATAAGTTTCAAAGGATAAGCAGGAATTAGGTAGAAGGAGGATGTGAGGAAAGCTATTCTGGGCAGAAAGAGTACTAGTAGGTACCAAAGCATGGAGAAATACACAGTAAGCATCTTAGGGCACAGTCAACTCTGCATTTTAGAATTGTCCTCCTGACTACGAAGAATGAAATGAATGGGGGTGATGATATTTGTGGAGGGTAGACCTGTAGGAAGCTATTCTTTTCCTGCAAGGAATTGATGAGCTTAGGTAGAGGTGAGGATAGAGAGATGGTAAGTTTGAGTGACAGTAAGGAAACAAAATCCATAGGATCTAAAGATGGATTCCATATTAGGGCTGAAGGAGAGAAGGATTAGGGAAGTGCTCAGCTGCTTACCTGACTTGAGCTGCCAGGTTTTGACATTTCATGAGCTACAAGACATATGAGGAGGAGCAGAATGGAAGTGGGAAATGATGATACCACATGGATTCGAAGCTCAGCCATGTGGGCCTACAGTGTAGGAATGAGGTCTGGATGGAGAATTTGTGAGTCATCAGCCTATGTGAAGCTAATGAAGCCATAGGAAACACTGGCCCATCTAGAGAGACTAGTGGAAACAAAAGGGCCCAGGAAGTTACCCAGTTATGAAGAATCTTTTGAGCAGAAAACATCTCAAATATACTTGTTAAAATTTTGATTGTACATCATGCCATGTGTAAAAATTATTTAACTGATTATCCTTTCAGATTTTTGAAAGTTTCACTTCTATCTAGGTCCTTGTAACGGGTGTTGGCTATAAAGATTGAATTAATTCAACATATTTTAATTCTTAATCATATGACAAAACTTGATAGGTTCTAGATATTGTTTCATTTTCTTTCCTACAGCTTTGAAATTTTTAAAAATCTTTTTTAGCTCTCAATGGACCTTTATTATATGTATTTATATGTGGTGCTGAAAATCGAACCCAGTGCCTTGCACATGCTGGGCAGGCGCTCTACCACTCAGCCATCACCCCAACCCCAGCTTTGAAGTTTTAACAGTGATTTTTTTTTAAATCAGAGTGTTCATTTGTATTGAGTGTAAGAATGTTCTAGAAGATTGATATTTATTGAACATTAAAAACTGAAGGCTTTATGGCCATGGAGAGGAAACCAGATTTTCCATGCCAGACTAAGGGTCTTGCTTCCTGAGCTGGCAGGACACGGGCATGCCAGGAAGACACCGTGTTCTGGTTTCCCAGGCAAGGAAGGGGGAGTTGATGTTAATGAGCAGCAAGACCCGCCAGATTTTTCTGGCACAACTTTCCTGGAATCCAGGCCAGCACTCCCATTAGATATGGCGAGGTGAAGCCCACGGAACAGGAAACAGGCAATTATGTGGGGTTTTCAGGAAGGCATCCATTGGACCAGACACCTAGGCCTGAGGTGGACAGGTGGTGTCACAGAGCATGATGCCAAGTGGAAAATGGGTGGCACTGAAAACACGGAATGGGAAGAAGGCAACAGGACAACTAGTGTTTAAGACCATAGTAAGGTTTAGTCCATTCATGGGTAGATATTATATTGATAAGAAAATATTACAGTGACTTTTAATGGAAAAGAGAAAAAAAAAAGATAAACATCATTTTAACATGAAATTTTTAGATGTGTGTTTCTACGATTTGTTCAGTGTAATAGGAAAACCCAAGTCCTAAATTCCACATTCTGTCTTGATATTTTCTGTCTACACAGGCTGAAGTCTGCATTCTCTCTTGTGAGGTGGAAAGCAAAACAGGGTTGAAATGTTCTCCGAATGTYAAGTACATTTCTAGATGCAGGAGTCCTGAGTTTTGTCACACATTGACTTTGTTTTRTGATTTGGCCTATGGCACCTGCACTGGTATCTCTTAAAGGTGGGTTTATTGTGAATAAAAGGTAGATGCAGGATCAGTATCTCAGAGATTTATCTACATTTTTTTTCCTTTTCATTTTGTTCTAGCTAGAAGGTATCCCCCTAAACATTCTCTAAGAAAAAGCATTATTGGTATTTACTTCTTTCCATGTCTTACATATTTATATTCTGGTCTTGTGACATTCACACAACCTCCAATTTATTTGTTTTCTTCTTTTTGGTGTCGACGGTGCTGCTTGACAGGGTTATCGGGGGAATACAACCTTCCCCTGTCAAATGCCTTTCAGCATCCTCTTGTCCTTCCATGCCTACCTTTCCTTTGTGAACCTGAAATGTGACTCTATTTCTGTAAGTTAATCAACTTCCACCTTTGTATTTAAAGTGCTTTAATTCAATCAATATCGTAACAAGATGAACTCTCTTCTCATGTTTGCACAGTCAATTGATCACCCAGGGAAGTAGTAGAACTGTAAATGTTTTGATGGATATTTCTTAAGGCAATTTCTATGGATTTTCATTTATTTAATATAATTTAAG